CAGCTAGTCCGGGACCGGAGCCTTTAGAAGCGGGCTGTCAGGGGGCAGAGGGCTGAGCGGGAGAGCCGTACTCTCCTCTTTCTTGAACTCGGAGTGTGGAGCGGAGGAAGAGAAATCGGGCAGTGGTGGACACAGCTCGAAGCAGATTCAACGCAAAATCACCATAATAAATAGAATGACGCAATAAAGCGAATTTTGTTTTATTCCCAAGTGCATATACAACCCACGCTTCCACTCTCTTGAAGTCCCTTAAGAGTGCCGTGTATAAGGTTAAAAACAATGCAAGTGCCTTAATTAAAATATTTACTGCTAAAAAAACTGCTAGCCATCACCCGACCCTGCAGGGAGTTCGCGTTCTCCCTGCTGGGAAGAGTCTGACCTCGCTGTCAGTGGCTGCTGGCCCATTGGGTTGTTCTGGTGGGGAGGCTGTGGTGGCTGTGGCGATTTCTTAAAAAGTGAGACAGAGATGAAGTTCCCTGCATGGGTTGACTCCTCCCGTGGTGCGAGACTTTCTGTAGCATCTGAGGCTGTGCGACCGCGTGTTACCCCCGCCAGCCCACGCCCCCTTGTCCAGGTCCGTGATGTGTAGCTAAGTTTCCCCACTGCCTCCTCAGTAACGGGCGAGAAGAAGTTGGGGACTGGACTGGGGGGAGTGAAAGCCCGAGCCTCTCAGTCCTCTGCCCACCTGGTGTTGTGCTTGCAAATACAGGGTAATGCTCGGTTTGTGTCAGACGTGATTCTGCAGATGGATCAGGAGAACTCAGAAAACACTGGGTTCCTTCACCGCTACACACACACACACTCATACACGCTCACACACACGTGCACACACACACTCCAGATGGATTAATGATCCATTTGTCATCTAAGCTTGCGTGTGAAATAGAAGAACTATGCCCGTGCAGATACAGGAAAGTTTGAACTACTTATAGAACCTATGGTTGGAGAGATCCTGAGGAGGGCAACCCAAAATTTAGTACAGAAAACGTCCCACAAACAGAGTCTAAAGGCACACATATCCATTAGATATGCTTTGTTTTATATACAGGTATGTATTTTATTTATTTATTTATTTATGGTTTTTTTCAGACAGGGTCTCACTACGTAGTTGAGACTGACCTGTAACTCACTGTGTAGCCCAGGCTGGTCTGGAACTCACAGCGATCCTCCTGCCTCAGCCTCCCGAATGCTGGGATTACAGGCATGTGCCACCACACCCAGCCTTGTACTGTTTTTTATACACAAAGAACACTTTCATTAATAAGAAAAAGATAAATCACCTCTCAGAAAATTGGGCAAAGGATATGAATAGAAATTCACCAAGAAGGAAATGCAAATGGCTGATAAACATAAGAAAGTGTTCGGGGGAGTCAAGGAAATACAAATAAAATGAGATTTCAATCCTGTTTTTTTCCCAGTAGCAATGACAAGAACTAAAAAAATATCAAAATCAGGTGAGAACACTGGAAGGATAATCGTGCATTCCTAGTGTTCATAAAAGGTCTCACTGTTTGGCAATTTGGGCTTAAATGAAAAAGCACAGGAATCGGAATCTCATTTTATTCACGGAGGGGCAGGAGAAATACCATTCTGGTTTATTTTCAGTGGGGCAATGTAGTTTTTGATGCTCAACTACTGTTCTTCCAGCTTGCAGAAAAAGCGCACAATCCTTTGGGGACTTCTCTTTATGACCAAATGCGTGGAGGTGAGTTTATACTGTCTCAGTTTGCAGTGTCAAAGCTACTAGTGTCGCTTGCAAAACTACATGACGGTGTGGGGGGACCATGCTCAGCCTGGGCTGGGCCCAGGTGCTCTTTCCTGACTTCCTTCCTCCGGCTGTGTGGCCCTGCAGGGAGAGCTTGGCCCTTCTGATCTGTGTCCCAGTGCGGACTAGTGTCACAAGTGGGGATTTTACCTTTTCCTAACACTGCAGCATTACTCTTAAATTAGATCTGCAAATGAATGACCTTTATTTTAATAATTGCAAGGTGGGACAGCCCCTGTCAGTGTGTACCATATGGTGCTGCCATCTGCGGGGCTCCTGTTTTCAGTCGGTTTTGTAATAAACTGCAGCAAGAAGGCCCAGCGGATTAGGAAAAAAATCCATCCCAGTGTTCTCTGCACCTGAAAAGCTCTTCAATTTTGCACCTCGTATACTCCTCTCATCCTTGAAGGTCCAGCGTAAATGTCAACTATTTTTTATAGCTTTCCTTAAATTTCACCCCCTCTACTCCCCACTGTTAAGCCGACAGCATTCAGCACTTATCTCTTAAAAGCAAAAGGAATATGACAATAAATACGAATTGGATTTAATCAAAATAAAAATTGCATTTTAGAAGACACTGCCAAAGTACATTAAAAACTGTGCAGCTATACACTTTAGGCGAATTTGAAGGGGTACAGCGTGATGTTATCTCAGTGAAGTTACTTTTAAGAACCGCATGCAGAAAGTTGTATGGTTAGAAGTCACACACCACGAAAGGGGCATTGGCCAGTGGTCATTCTAGAATATACCAGGGCATTTTGTCATTACTCTGCACCTTTCCTCCTGTTCTGTGAGCTCAGATTCAGCGGTCGCTGCCAAGGGCCACGCTCGGGGCTTCAGCCCCTGGACCAGGGTCTGTCTCTGCCTCTCTCTCTCCTACTCCCTCACCCCCCTGCCCGGGGCACTCATCAACTAAAACTAATGCCAGAAAATCAATTCATGCTGAGCCCTCCTGGCCTTCAGTTGACAGTGCCAGGGGTTTCTCAGATTTCCTTGCTGTCGCTCTGAAACGGGACCCCCATGCCCACTGTGAGAACCACGATAGACAACTGTTTTGTTACTGGCTTTTCCTCCCCAGCTGTCCCCTTCTCCCACCCCGTTCTGGGGCGAGGTGGATCTCAGTGTCATTTTCACCTGCATCTCTTGAATGACCAGTGAAGTTGAACATTTTTTTCCATATATTTACTTGCTGCTTTTACTTCTTTGTCTGAGAAATGTCTGTTCATTTCGGATGCCCATTTTGAATCAGATCTTCATATTTGGGGGGCCTGATTTTTTTTTGAGTTCTTTTTACATTCTAGATAGTAGACCTTTGTCTGAGAAACGGCTGGTAAATTTTTTTTCCACATTGTAGTTTGTCTCTTAGCTCTATTAGTGGTTTCTCTTACAGTGCAGAAGCTTTTTTAAAAAGGCGAGATCCCAGTTGTTGATTCTTTGGGCTAGTTCCTGTGCTGCTGAGGATTTGTTCATAAAGCCTTTTCCTATGCAATGTCCTCAAGCGTTCTACCTAACTTATGTTCTAACAAGTTTAGTGTTTCTGTTTTAATATTTAGATTTTTAATTCACTTGGATTTTAGTTTAGTGCATGGTGGAAGGTAGGGATCTAGTTTTAATCTTTGGCAGGTTGAAATCCAGGTTTTCCAGCACCATTTATTAAAGAGGCTATCTTTCCTTCAGTGAGGATGGTTGGCTCCTTTGTCAAAGATGAGGTAGCTGAGTACATCTGGAGTTGTTTCGGTATCTTCCAATCTATTCTACTGATCCTCAGGTCTTTTCTTTGCCAGTATCCTGCTGTTTTTAACACAGTCGCTATGTAGTATAGTTTCAAGTTGGGGATTGTGATGCCCCCTATCATGTCTCTGCTGCCTAGAATTGCTATTGCCATTCCAGGTCTCTTCTCATTCCAAATGAATGTTTTCTCTAATTCTGTGAAATATACTGTTGGGATTTCAATTGGGATTGCTTTGAATCTGTATAGAAGTTTTGGTAATATGGCCATTTTCATTATGTTGATTCTGTCTACCCAGGAGCAGGGGATATCTTTCCATGTTCTTATATCCTCTTTGGTCTCTTTTCAGAGTGCTGTAATTTTCAGTGTAGAGGTCTTTTGCTTCCTTCCTTAGACTGATTCCTAGATACTTCATTTTTTGAATGCTACTGTGAAAGGAATTGTTTCCCTAGTTTCTCTCTCAGTGAGTCTGTTTTTTGTGTACAAGAAGGCAATTGATTTTTGAGTGTTGACTTTGCTGCTCTGATGAAAGTGACAATTAAGTCTAGAAGTCTTTTGGCAGAGTTTTTTGGGTCTTCTAGTAGAGTGTCATCTCCTCAGCAGATAGTGGCAGTGTAACTTCTTCCTTTCCTGTCTTTATTGCCCTTATTTCTTTCTCTTGCCTAATTGCTGTGGCTAATGTTTCCAAAACTATATTGAACAGGAGTGGTGACAGTGGGCATCCTTGTCTTGTTCTTGATTTTGATATGAAGGTTTTCAGTTTTTGACCATTTAGTAAGATGTCGGCTGTGGGTTTTTCATAGATTGCCTTTATCAAATTGAGATAAAGACCATCTATTTCAATTTTCTGTAGGGTTTTCATCATGAATGGGTGTTGAATTTTTTTGAATGCTTTTTCTGCATCTATTGAGATGACCATATGGTTTTTGTCAGTGACTCTGTTAATATAGTGCATCACATTTATTGATTTACGTATGCTGAACCAACTTTGCATCCCTGGGATAAATCCAACTTGGTCAGGGTGTATGATCTTCTTGATGACCCTCTGTATTCTGATTGCCGGTATCTTCTTGAGGATTTTTTGCATCCATGTTCATTGG